CACTCAAACAATGTTATACTTTGACCCCAGAGTCACCTGCTTTGGAGAAGATAAATAAACACAATCTATTATGGTCAGTCGGTCCACCCTCCATTAACCTGCTTATCACTCATCAGTCTGCAATGTCAACAATACAGTTGAACCAGTCCACAACTTTAACTGACATTTGTGGGCGTGTTTTAGGAGACAAAGAAATACAAATGTACTTAATGATAATACAAACATGTCATGTATGCAATGTAGAATTTTAGAAAAAGGATTGAAACTTAAAAGCTGGGGTACCTGACTTTCAAACCATTAAAATCTGTAATATCTCATTTTTCGATTCAAAACAGTTTTCACTAGTTTTCACATGCATCAGTCACATCTTAAGACCAGCTTTTTTCAGACAGAAAAGTGGAAGATTGGACCACCTCCGTTCAGCCACGCACGCAGATTTCACTCTCAAATTGTGACTCACAGGGATCTTTCAAGAATGAAAAATAAAATACATTATTTTCTTACTAAAATCAAGACAGTATGTTGTGGTCTGTTTTGTCCACAACATTCTGACTCTTTCTGTTGGAGAAAAATAAGTGTATTATATAGGAAAGAGGTTGATCAAAAAGACTAAAATGTTACTCCAAAGATTCTTTTTATGTACTTTTCGTCATAATTATCATGTGTTATAGTAGTTAACATAATTATTGCCGAGCTATTTGTCACTATTTTTAAAAGTTATCATGTGTGTTGAAATTGGCATGTGTTGAATAAAGCCTAATTTGTCGTACCGCCCCTAAATGCCACCTTCTAATCTGAATACTCACCTACACTACACATGGCCATTACTTTTACTTCTCATATAGATTACAAGCAGCGCGACATGGCACCAGCTGGAACTTCACTCTCTGCTGGTGACAGGAAACATGGACTAGCCTGAGCATGTTCTGAACTAACGCATGGCACACTCCCAAAATAAAACAAGCGCAGAACAACACCAAAACTAGGCCAACTGCTACATGTTTTAAAATTCATAATAACATTTCCACAGTAATCCGGTGTTCGGCTGCATGTGACTGACCACTGACCAGTGAACGGTGTCTGGACAACTGGGACATGTGTTTTGAGAGCTCATTCTTTGCACTGTTGGTTTTTGAAGGTGCAAAAACAGCCGAGGTCTGCATGCCTTTCGTTTTTCATGGTTGTCAGACAATGTGGGCATTAGCGGTCCTTTGAAGATACTACCAACACGTGGCATACCACAAAATGTTATGACCTGGAGTTGAATCATTATAACTATTCATCAAGCATATAAAAGAAATGGTTATCATAACTGTTATATAAGTAGGAGGAAAGGTAATGATGCCCTCCACAAATATTGGGAGAGAGGTGTAGGGTCAGAGAGTTTGGGCTTGTACACCGTTTTGAGTGAATAAGGTTCTACAAATAGGGTTACATTTAGATATTTAATAGTTATTCAAATGTAGATGTTATTAATAGATACAATTTTATTTATATTTTTTGTTTTTTTGCCATGTCAGATGCCATCTATAAACTTCATTCACTGTATCAGAAATCTGTGATACTGTGACGACTAAAGTGTTGTTGAAATAAATTAGCACTCAATTATAATCTGCCTAAATACATTGGACATCATATAATTTGGAGAGTTTTGACCCAATCCAACAGTCCTCCTATAGCGAGACCCCATGTCCATGCACTAGAGCATTCCCATGGCTTATGCAGGTCATCTGGCAGGCCAACACTTAGCAACAAGAGTCAAGCTAGGGCTGAAACAACTAATCGATTAATCGACGACTAATCGATTATTGAAATAGTCGACAACTATTTTAGTAATCGATTAATCGTTTTCTGCTTCACACGGACTCAAACAGAGCAAAAATGACATGAAAATGTAGTATTTTTGATTTAAACCGACTTTGTTTTTATAATTTCATGAATATCTGTCTCATCCAATCAGATAGCAGAATTAGCACAAAGAGCCTGTTACAAACATTTACTTTAAGTTTACGCCATCAATACGTCCTCGAGTGTTGCCACTTTAGCTTTAGCTTTTTGTGATGAAAAAATATTTTTTTGCTACACAATTCACAGCCAAGCGATTACTCGATTAATCGTAAAAATAATCGATAGATTAATCGATTACAAAATAATCGTTAGTTGCAGCTCTAAGTCAAGCCAAGCAGCTCACAGGTCAAATAAGCCGAGATCATCTGAGAGATTTGCCATGCACATTTTAGATTTGAATAAATAAATACATTCTGGTGTATTCCCAGCTGGCAGAAACCCACACTGGTCTGGTTTCCTGTCCTGAATAATACAGGCAAATACAAACGGACTTAAAAGGTGATCCAGAGGGCAGTATGGAATCACTATGAAGTCTTGGTTCTCCACTGTATTTTTGAGCGTTTATTAATTATTGATTCATTCTGCACAAGTTTCCATATGTTCACAGTCCCGGGGCTGTAGGGCCGTGTGAGAAACAGGCTGTACAAGGGCTGATAGGAAGGGAAGTCTTTTCAGTCCACTCTCCCATGGGGGAATCTACTTTCATCCCTGCTACACAAGCAAAGAAGAACGGTTCAGGAGCAAAGAAACTCGCTTATCGACCCATCAATATGACACAATAGGACAACATCAGAAGCTTGAATGGCTTAGAAGCTGGTGATGAGCGAAGGTGGGAGTTACAGTCATAAGAGTTTTAAAAAAGAAACCCAGATAGATAGCAATCATAAGGGTCACTGAGACGCCGTTACTGAAATTTACACTGAAAATACCTTTGTGGCCTTGAGAGATTATTTGACATGAGCTGTGACCAAATCCTGTTCTTTTTGATGAAAGACAAAAAGCTGATTACTCTATGCACAAATATATCCAGTGCCTATTGGCCGAAATACTTATATGACAGCCCCATATAAGAGTCCAAACCATTATAAGTTTTCATGATTATTGATAGTATACTGTATGTTTCTCATTTCGTAAAGCGCTTAGAAATGTTATGCTCAACAAATAAGCCCATCTTGGCTTTCTTAACAGGCATATTTACTTTGGTTGGTAAGCTAATAAACTACTTGGCACCCATGTGAGGTTCAAAGAGCGGCGCTTTAGTCGCAATTGAAGGAAATTCCCTGAATGATCATAACGAATCCATCGAAAACTGGGGGTGGACTGATCATTTTATTATTGGTATAGGACGACATACAATGCATATATACCAGATGTATGTGGGATACAATAAAGTAACAATGCAGTTTGGGAAATTTCACTAAAAGAACTTCAGAGTTGGGTTGTTAAGGCCATTTGGTTTGGACATCACACGGCGCCTCATGTCCTGGTAATGATAATAAAATAAACACTCATTGGTGAAACTGTTCTTCTAAAGATCAATTGTGTTTTAAGTAAAAAAACAAAAACCCTTTCACTTGCAACAAACATAGCAACTGCTGTGCTTGATCCCCTAAAACAATGGAAGTCAGTAAGTGTTTCAAGACACAATAGATGCTCTGTGCAACTGGAAAACAACCTGGGGCAAAAAAAAACCACACGGCTGCATTTAGTAAGACTTTAACTCAACTTTTTACCGTCAGCCACAATTACTTTTTACACTCAGCTGACAATAACAATGCTTTTTTTTACTTTGTGTCTCTTCATACAAGTTTGTGGGTCAGTAGAATGAACATTTATCCCAAAATGTAATTCATTAATCAGTATTTATTCTACCTTCAGAGGTTACACAAGTTTCTCACTAAAATAAACTAACTCAAAGTTGTACATGTATCCGAGAAGTATTGCCTTACATGTTTAAATGCTAGATGACAGCCATAAGAGCAGCAGTTGTTGCTTACGATGTATTCAATTACTTAAGTTGTGGCGTATTCCAATCCCTCCGGCTCCGAGGCTCATGGACACTTTTCAAATGACAACAGAAAAGAAAGCTATGTTTTGGCTGTCATTTCAAGCCAACATAATTGATAATGGCCGGCAGGAATAAACGTACAGACTGCTAAACCAGCTCACAGATGGAATGTTCAAATCCAGTGGTTTAGTGACAACTGCTGAGTCAGATTTTCACTTGACTAAATGCATTGAAGCCAGTAGGGACAACTAATCCTGTGTCCCAGCAAGCCATGGAGCGCTCTTTACAATAGGCACACAGGGGCCAATCACCGCACACAATCTTCTTTAGTTCCCAGCTGCGAGCACAAGCCTGGCAAGTCACTATTTGGGGTGACTGTGGCAAATGTTATTAGAAAAGGTTCTTTAGTGTAATTAAAACATAAAGATTAAGGAATGTTTCACTGTGACAATATATGACCTCCCCTCAAACTCATAAGTGAAATGTGTGATAGTAATGACATAATGACAGCACCAGGCACCTTTAATGCCATTGGTTAACACGACAATGTTACAGGGTCTCACTAATAGTCTTAGCAATGCTGTGACTCAGGTTAGTTTCCAAAGTCAATATGATGTCAGTGTCATTGTACTTCTGAAGCCAGTGAGTTTATTGTGATTTCAACTTCTTTAAAAAGTGAAAAGGTGCTTTTAGAATCAAATTAGAATCTCATATGATCTTTGCTTGATAATGGACTATGTAATAACTTCCACGACACATTGTTAAGAGTTTAACACTGATCTTCAATGTCCATGTTCTAAAGGCAACTCCAAAGATAAATGAATGGGTAAATGTGTCAGCAACTGTGCTGTTTTTAATGTGTCGTGTTATCTCGTCTTGTAGATTAATTAAGAGTCCAGAGCTGAGAGCTGACATTGCACTGGGAGGTTGTTGAGAGCCACAAGTGGCTTCAAAAATGCAGCTCTATTGTTGTGAGCGCGCCTCTGCAGACGCACAAGTATGCTGTCAGTCACTCAGCAGTATCTACGAAACTACACATGAACACGCAGCTCAGAGGTAGTAGCTCAGGCAGTAGTTTACTCGGTGTGCCCAATCATCTATTTCACCAAAAATAAACTTCACTTTGATTCAAAACTTGACGTACCTTTCATCCACTCCACAACCAGCTTTGGGGTCCACTTGGTGATCGGCTCCATGGTGTCTCCAAGGCTTCTCTCGGCTTAAGAAATGTAAACGTGAGCCAAACGAGGTTCAAAAAGTCAATTGAAATAAAAGACGGTCGAAGTAGTGTCACATTTTGTGTTGCGGCTCAGAGAAGCCGTGTGTTTGTGTTGGGAGCAGGCGCATGACTGAGGAGAGAGCAGGCTCCAGTCTCTGCTCCAGTCTCTGCTCCAGCCTCTGCTCCAGCCTCTGCTCCAGGGGGAGCGCTGCTGCGTTCAAGGTACAGGACAAAAATGGGACTTTTCTATACTCCACTAATACAAACGCAGGAATTCGTCTTCTTAATTACGCTGCGTTCTTAAATGTACTCCAATAGTACTTTTAGTTAGGGTTTTTAAAGTACTATTGATTGAACCTGACATTTACAACTTACTTACGTGCACAAATTAATTTAATCATATACTGTAGTACTTCCACCCATAGAAAATAAATAATTTTCACTCTGAAATGATTTACTTATTCATTGACGTTCGGGGCGTTTAATTTGTCCATACATTCCGCCAAAGAGCTTACGAATGCCATCTATCTTTTCTATCAGATCTAAAGCTGAAAACTAGTCATAGAACCAAACTTCAATAGTTTCACATCGCATCACCTTACACCACTGCCATCTGTAGGCAACTACATGCATGTGTAGTCCTTTCGGTGAATGGAGCTGTTTATGGCCTTCCTATGGCCTTTTGCACAGACATATGGTGGTAACAAAGTCTATCTATAGTTAGGAGTAGATTCAGCGTTCACATCTCAAAGTTTAAACCAATAAAGTATATTGAAGGAGACCTGTGACCACTTAAATCCCATAGGAAGATCAAGAACGTGGCTTTGGATCTGGTGGAAAACAGACTGAGGTCTTTGATAGGATTAAGCAAATCTGTTCTGACAAGGCAGAGGGGAGAAATGAAAGATAAAAGAGCGATTAAACTGCTGTGTTTACAAACGACACATATAGTATTACTATACTCACCTCCCGTCAGTTATCACCAGACAACGCATTTCTTTATTCATAATGTGTCTAATGAAACTGGACATGCACTCAGAGACATTTAAACACATAATGTTTTTTAATCATTTATACATACATTTATCCAGCTAGCTGTAGGTATTTATAAAAATATCCACAAGTGAAAGGCTAATATATTTCTGATGAAACATTGAATATTAATAATCTCATTTGCTATTTATTGTATTTCTGCATTGAGAAGTAAGACACATACTTGCATAAGACACATACTTATATGTATAATAAGTATGTGTCTTTGTAAAAACATGGCATTATATGATATGTATAATCCATGGATCTATTGGTATAATCCCATATTTATAGATACAAAAAACATTCATTCCAAAACAAAATAATATGAACAAATCTTGACTGAGGCATGCTTTCCAATATAGAGCTGAAATATAAACATTGACTTTTAGATTTGAGGTAAAAGCATTACATAGGACTATAAAGAGGGCAGTGTGGCTCTATACAGAGGGTCTGTGTACTGATCTGGACGCTGGTGACTAGAGCTCCCAGAGGAACCAGGGTCAAAGAGTTACTTTTATGCCTTTAACTGCAACTGTACATCACTGTTGTTGTTGATTTTGTTTAGAGATTCAGTTTCATATATTTTATACTGTAGATTTTCATGGAGCATTTGATGGGTTTGAAATAATGGCTGGTTTGGCGTTGAGATACTCCAGTACAAAGACTTGAAATATCTTATTGAGGTTTTGAATTGTATTACGATCCAAATTCTGCTCATTGTCATCAAATGTGTGCCAGACAGTCGGGAACGGAGAGGGGATGAGGTGAAGGACTTGCACACCTGTGGAGAAAGTAAAAAAAAATACATATTAACCAGCACATCAATGTAAAAGGAATGTATTGATCTGTATTAGTTGTAAGTGCCTCGCATTAGGAAGGGTATGTGGTCATCCTGGACACGGCCCACTGGAACATTTGGCCAGAAGTATTGTATGTCGTTCGGATGATCCACAAGTTGGTTCATGGAGTGAAGACGGCGTTCTGTGATTGTAGAGGGGAAATGTTTGTGCAGAAAATAGTACAATGATCGTACAAAGCAACACAATTTCATCTATTCTGTATGAATTACAAAGTGAGAGTGATTCATAAAGTGAGAATGAAGTATTCGTCCTTTAGAAGTCTGAGATTTTGAGATCAAAGTCTAACAAGATTCTAACTTACAGTACATGAGCCAAAGACTAAAGCTGTGACGCTGGAAATAAATGAAATACCTATGTTTTGGAGTCTGGTGAGCCACCGTAATGTGCTGGAGAACTGGTTCCCAAAGCGAGGACTGGGGCCCCCAATCAGGTCCAACAACACAAACAGATCCTGAAACAACAAAGACACTATTTTAAGAAATGTGTAACTTATTGGATGTGAGATGATGTAGTTAAAAACATTGAACATTAGGAGATGGGAACAGCATTACCACAGAAACCAGCAGGAAGAAAACCGGAACAAACGTGTGTTTCCATTCACCCAGCTGTTTATGTAAAGGTGAAAGGAACTACATACTTTCACAATGAAAAAGTGGAAGGAGAAAACGATGGAAAGTGCTGAGTGTAAACACAATGTTGAGAACGGAAGTGTACAGTGTATTTTTGCCTATTACTGTCAGCAGAGATATTAATGGCTTCAATATTTGTCTATGGCTTGTTTTATTAGTATTATTTTATTTCAATTATGTTATCTATGCATCACTTTTAAAAATGGTCCTACCATGCCATGCAGCAGGTTGGTGCCTGTGGCCCCTGTGGGGTGAGGAGTAGCCTCCATCTTTTCGGCCAGGTGCCGGGAGCCGTACAGAGAGTCAGAAGCTGTCCACTGAAAGAGGGCCTCCTCGCCATCAAAGAAGATCAGCTGCAGAGTCAGCTTTGGATTGGAGCTCTGTATGAAACAATGGACAGGACAATAAAACACAAAATACTCTGCTGCCCCCTTGTGCCTATCTGTGACATCAGCACATTACACGCATCCCATTTATTTGTAAAATACGTGTTCACTAATGAACAATGTGTAGGCCTGTTTGTGGATGATTATAATAAGGAAAGATATATATATTTTTATGACCTTTTGAGTTTTGAGCTCTTCATCCAAAGCGCGTGCCAGCTCCAGCATCATGGCACAGGGGACAGCAGAGTCAGTGGCACCTTGGAACTCCCTGCCATGGAACTGCGGGGGGTAGTACTTGGAGTCGTAGTGACATGCCAGCACCAGGCGGCGTTTGGCTGCAGGGTCGAGTGTGGCTATGATGTTAGTGAAGGGCAGGGGGCCATAGGGAGTTTGAGACATGAACTTGTCTTCTGTCACTTCCCACCCTGCACTGAGAGAACCCAGGGTGGTTTTGATATGCTATGGGAAAGATATATGACATTATCACATTGTGGCTACCATTTTATTGACAGAGCGTTATGTAAATACTTGCCTCCTGCACAGCCTGGCTTCCTGGAGACCCTGGATACCTGGTGACAAGGAGTGGTCTTAAATCCCTCTGCCACATTTGATTTAGGTCAGTGTGAGAGAGAGCAGTCCGGATCTCTTCTGGTGTGAGCAGGGTGGCCCTGTGCTGCAGCTGAGGGAGACATAAGATATGTTTTCATATGAGTGAGACATGTGAATGTAAGAATCTAGCTTGTGTAGCAAGTGTTGATCAAGGGTTAAATATTTTGAAACATCTACCAAGTTCCCTGAATCATCAACTTCTCACTGATGATGACATGTAATTTCCATAATTGCGCAGTAGTACATTCATAATGCGTATAATAGTCCTGTGGCCTAACTTTGTACTGTGGAATAAGCCAACTAATAAACCAAGCTTGGGCTGTAACAAGTTAATTGATTATTCAAGAGATTATTGAAATTGCTCTAAATACATTTTCATTTCACAAGGTTTACAACGTATTTCTAACCAAACAAGCCAAAGTGTAAGTCATCTCTGTGAAGATCTCTTTTAGATGAATCAAAGAAAAATCAGCCAGCTAACCAATTATCAAAATAATCGAGAAGTACAGTCATATAACAAGTTAGATATGGTAGTTCCATAATTTACAGTTGGTGATTCATTAAACTGATTGTTTGAATCAATATTTATAAGATATCGATTGTCTTATCTCATATCATCTGAGAAAACATGTGTGCCATGTTGTTATGGTAACAAATTGAAAATATAAAATTCAAATGCAGAACTGTTTACAACAGGAGAGAAAAAACGGCTATTATATAATTCAGAATAAAAACATCACCTTAGAAAATCTGTTGGGGATTGTGACTCACATACTTCTATGATTATAGACTGCAATTCAGTTCCAGGGTTGTAATTTAATGCGGCCAAAGAGCCAGTGTACCCCACAAGAAGGCTTGTGAGGCTGAAGCTGGATTAGATGGGGATCCACTTTGTCTAGTGTCTATATCAAGATGTGAGGCGAGGATCAATGATGGAGACCCAGGCCTTGCTGCCATAGCAACCATGGAGAATGAAGAAGATAGTTTAACATGAATGGCCAAGCAGCCTACATTTACATCTCATCTCACAACTGGTGTGTATAATAATATGCACATGGTGTGTTAAATAATATGCACATGAACGTATTATTGCCATGTAATATATTGGATGGACATGGATAATATACTTCAGGATTTATTGTTGTCATAAATTGTGGATTTTAAATTCATTGCAATAACATGTATGTCTGCAACAAGAAGTAACTTTTCTGGACACAAAAAAACAGATCCAAAGCTACGTATTGGAGAATAGACGTCTTCTTGCAGGCGTTGATAAGATGTTAAAGGGTGGAATAAACAGCATACCTTCTCTTGGGTCCAGGGGACTCCTGTGCATGACTGGATGTAAGTCACGAGGACCAACGTGTAGAACAAACATAATTTAGAGCGGCTCCTTGTAGCCATCGTTGTTGTCGCTCCTCTCCACATTCCAGACTCCTCAAAGCTTACGGATCATGTGAAAGGCAGGAGGCAGGACCCGTGGATCACCGCTCACCACCACTGCGCGTCACTGTAGCTGTGACCATTCACTGGAAACGAAAGCTCTGATATTCAATCATAATATACACGTAAACTTTCTTTGTTCATTTTAGCCAATATACTTTGATTGACTGTAAAACAAGATTGATGTGAAGCAAGCATAGACGCAAGACATTTTATTTTATCTGTAAAATATATAATTACGTATTTTTATCTGATTAATCTGAAATATACGAGTGGGTGGAAAACAATAAAAACGAAAAAACAAAACCAATAATGAAAATAGAATTAAAAAGCGAGAAAGTCACGTGCTCCTCTGACGCAGCGAACCCGGAAGTTTACCCAGTAGCCCGAGCATGAGCCCGAAGTTATTATAGTAGATCCATTGATTCAATCTGCTACTGCTGCATCTCTGTCACTGTGTTCACTGGTGCATCTACAAACCCTGTCTCATAAAATACTTGTTTTGTGTTAATAATGGACGCAGACGAAGAGAAACGATTAAAAGAACTGCTCAACGAGAAAGAAAGTGAGGTTATGGCACTCAAGAAAAGATTGTCTCATTTTGAAAAGGTGAGATCAAACTTTTGTTAATCAGATTATATAGATACTCTGAGCTCACTCATTATTGTTTCTCTTCATATTAAAGCCTAGAGATGATATTTAGTTTTGTGTTATTTTCTTTCAAGAGCAAAAACCCCGCTATGGATCTGTTCGAGAAGGTGACGCCTCTTGCCCCTTTAGAAGTTAGATCTTCACTTTCCAACCAAGATATCATGCGCTACAGCAGACAACTTCTGCTTCCTGACTTTGGTGTTCAAGGTACTGCCTATACAGTATTAACCTATTTAGATACATAAAGCTTAAACATACATACATTAAACATATTACTACTTAAACCTTTCTGTTTCAGAGCAGCTAAATGTATCAAAGACATCTGTGTTGATTGTGGGATGTGGAGGTCTGGGGTGTCCTCTGGCACAGTATCTTGCAGCAGCAGGGATTGGTAATTGTTTTACCATATTGAGCTTGTGTTTGATTTGATTTTTTCCTTGATTTGTCATAATTCTAAATAATGATCTTGTTCTTTATTGTAAACAGGACGTCTGGGTCTGCTTGACTACGATGACGTGGAACTTAGTAACCTTCACAGACAGGTGCTGCATGGCGAGGAGAACCAGGGACAAGCCAAAGCCCTGTCAGCGGCTTATTCAGTTAAAAGGTTGCTTACTCTGCTGTTACCTTTACTTTGTCTTGATGAACGGAAAGTCTTCTAAATACACATTTCATTACTATGCAGCTTGTATATTAGCACGATATGCTTGCCACTACTTTCTGATACAAGCAGAAGTATTGTATAATCATGTGGGTCTTGCTGGGCAGGCTAACAATTTGTTATTATAATTCTACTACCACTACTTAAACTATCATTTCTTTTGGCATTTCTTATTTTAAGGTTTAAGATAGAAGTTATGAAGTTCAAGTTGTTGATCTTCTTTTCTACATTATAGCCACAGGAGGGTGTTGTTTCATTGTTGAACCATAATACTGGAATTATTCTGCCTGTAATTATTCTTCACTAGGATATCCTTAACTGAAACGATGCGTCCACAGGTTGAACTCAACTGTGGAGTGTGTCCCCTATCACCTGCAACTGTCATCTGAGAATGCCTTGCAACTTATTCAGCAATATCCTTATATAAAGTGCAAATATCTTGTGTATCATCCCACTCTTGTAGTTCCTTCATTGTTTATCCAGAATGTATATCTCCTTATCCTTTATCTTCACATATGACATCGTTGCAGACTGTTCCGACAATGTACCCACACGCTATTTGGTGAATGATGCTTGCGTTTTAAGCGGCAAACCTCTTGTGTCTGCGAGTGCCCTGAGAATGGAGGGTCAGGTGAGATTAAAGGCCATTCAAATGCACTCTTATGACTTTAATTTCTTTTTTTCATCAGGTCGCTGTCTTTGTCTTTGTTTGCAGCTAACAGTTTATAACTACAGTGGAGGCCCATGCTACAGATGTCTCTATCCTGTACCTCCGCCTCCAGAGATGGTGACGAACTGTTCAGATGGAGGGGTGTTGGGAGTAGGTCAGTCATTTTTCATTATTGCAAAACGTTTTAAAGATAAAATATTTCAAAAACAAATTCCGGTAAAAATGATAATGATACTTTTTACCTTTTACGTGTGAGATCATAGTGGTACAATTACATCATACATACATACACACTGACAGGACTGAGGCAAAAGTAGACAGAAGTTCCTGATATTATGATGGATCTTAAAACAAATCCATGCCTTTTAATGCAGGAACAGTGTTGTAACATGGTTTACAACATATATATATATATTCTTGTCTTTATGTATGTTTATAGTACATGCTGACTAGGATTCCTATTCATATGTATTAATAATGTGCGATATAAATGACCTGAAGTTGTGTAAGAATGAGCAATGAGGTTTTCACAACATGTCCACTGACAGCTCACTTCTCTCTTCACTTGCTGTTATGTCTTTTATACTACCGTTATATGAACATTTTAGAATTGTCAAAACACCAACCTTCTCAGGACAGAGTAGAATTAAACCATATTATAACATAGAATACTGACTTTACAAATGTCACTTATACAACTTCTACTCACAGATGTTGCCTTCTTGGTTTCCACTCTACCAGTACTTTGTGTGTATTTAGTTCCAGGCATCATGGGGTGTTTGCAAGCACTGGAGGTCCTCAAGATTGCTTCAGGACATGACTGTATCCTTTGTTTGCAGAACTTCCACTTTGCATTCAATTCCGCCACCTAGCATTTCGATTATTACTAAATTGCACTTCATTTAATGCAGACAAGACTCAGGAAAATATTGTGCTGAAATGTATTTACTTCTGTATTTCTACTAACCATGTTAAACTACAGACTCGGTACAGGCAAAGTTAGCTATGTCGAGCCTTTATTTGTTATAATGTTGATAATGGTTTGTTAAAAACACAAATAAAACAAACGGTAAAATTAGTAAGCCATAATCATCATAAATAAATTTGGTATATGTCACTTTGCATGTAATAAGTCTGTCATATGCTGGTTTCACATTTCAAACTTTTGAAATATATTCTATTTTTTGTATGTGTATTTAATTCAACATCAATTGTAAAAGTGAAGTCATAAAAAGAAAAAAGTTTTTGCATCCTGTTCATTCATTGTGTTGTAACACCTGGCCTCGATAAGTATTGTTGAGTTTCTGTTTGGATGACATTTATACACAATCAGGAAAGATGCCAGCTCGTTCCATTCTTTTGGCTGGAGTACGTAGGGGACAGGAGCGGAGGGAACAGAGCCTTTTTCCTTAACCACGCATGCTAGCTTCCTGTGGCCAACAGCTTGTGATGTTTGAGGCCTTGGAGACCAGGTTCAGATCCATCAAGCTCCGCCCCAAGCAAGCCAACTGTGCAGTGTGTGGAGAGAACCCCAGTGTCACCCAGCTGGGGGACTACGAAACCTTTTGTGGATCTGCTGCAACAGATAAGGTTGGTTTGGTTGTATTGGTTGGTTTCAAATATTATACATATACAGGTGAAACCCAGAAAGGTATAATATGGTTCAAAAGTCTGTTTGCCGCTGCGATTCAACGTGCAATGTGAAACTATGATGCAAAGTGAGGTATAGCAAGCCGTCATTTGTTAGATGTTGAAAATGATGGCTCACAGGTGGAAAAAACCCCAAGTAAAACGTCTCAATGTAGAATATTTTGTTAATGGACAGTCAAATATAACAAACAAAGGCTTGGCATATCTACTTTTGTATACAATGAGTCTATATCATATATTAGTTTAGCATTTTAAGTTGAATTACAAAAATATACAGTCTTTTGGATGATATTCTAATCTACATATACAAACATTATCTGTAGATTATGGTTTTGAAATGACAAAGTATAGAGATTGAATAGCAAGAAAGTTTTATGTGTAAGCAAGGGGTACTTCAGAAATTTCAGTCTCGGACCCTTAAGATACAAGCGCTCATGTAGCAGAGGACACTTTTTATACAGTGACCTGGCATCCTACAAAATTCGTTTTATTAATCTTATTTAAAAAAAATTTAAATTGATATCAGTAGTCCTCTATCTCTAATTACATTTCAGGGCTCCACATTGTATCTGGTTTTCACATTCAGCTTCAGGAAAAACTCAAATGGACATTCCTGACTACTGAATAAATGTTTAATAATAATAAACAATAGCAATAATATGTAAGTGTCAAACGGTGTTCAATCCATTGTATTGTTTTTTTTTAATTAGTTCCCTTCAGTTATTGTGTTTTGTTATTGTTCCCTGCCTACCATTTTGAGAACCACTAGATTAAGCAACAGCATAAATGGGTGGGACTTGAATGGAACAGCAAAGTTAGAGTGGCAAAATCCGGTCCAATTGATGAAAAATAGTTACAATAGCTTGATTGTAAAAAAAAAAAATTGTGCTCATGTCTACATAATAGACGGAAACCCGGCTAACCAGACCCACACATTTTAACAATACATGTAACAGAAGGCAGAGGATCCGGCTGCTCAGGCTAATTGGATCGGGGATCTTATGTGATATCAAGTTGTTTTTAGATATGATTGTCTCTTGTGTTTCAGTGCCCAATGCTCCACCTCCTCTCCAGAGATCAACGAATCACAGTAAAGGTATTATATTCTTACTGTGTTTAATGTAAGATTTTAACATTCTTCTTAGTTTTAGTTTTTTCTTATTCCCAAAACAAATGGCATGACCCAGTGTTGAATGGGAAATGACAGAAAATTGTGTCTGGGATGATAATAGTGTAATATTAATGCATATTGGGTGCTTTCAAACCAGATGAATCATGATGTGCAAAGCTGTTATCAATTTAAATCCGCCGTAATTAAAATTGTTCTCATTTAGACGCACAGCATGGCCACTGATAAACTGTCACACACAGTTTATGCGTAGTTATTTAGTTTCCAAACTATATTTTCCAGATAAATTTTTTTCAAAATTGTGTTATTAATTTCAATGTTTTCTTGTATCACCCTAAATCACAACAGTAGTTATCACAGAGGACTTTACACAACGGTTGAATTCGCCAACACAGATCAGAGAATCAAAAAGTTCAAACACAAGAGATAAAACAGAAAACACATTGGTATTTGTCCATAAGAGATCCTTTGTTTCTTTTGGCTGGCAGACTGTACAACAGACCTGTAAGAGTCACCAAAAAAATTAGTTTTGACTTTCCAGGTAAAAGCAAATGGTGAAGAACTTAGAAAATCAAAAAATCCAAGGCACTCGTGATCAATAGTTTAGAAAAGTTTAAAAAGCCTTTATTTTCTTATGGCTGTGGATTAAAATACGCACCAATGCGTTTCAGCCTAGCTTGGCCTTCCTTAGGGTGCAAATGGTGGCACCAGTGCCCATGTGGTTCATATAGGGAGGGGCTTCATTAAATACACCAGTGCATGTGTAGAGGAGGGCCTCTAAACATGCACTGGTGTATTCACATCAAAAATACAATACACACAGAAAAAAGAGATTATAAAAAATTATAAAATTATACATTCGCTGGAGGTGTAGAAGCAATATCTGAAATTTTTCACAAATAAAAAGATAATTTCATTAAGCACATTACACATACACATAGAGAGTCCTCTGCTGCTGGATTGTTACTATGGGGCATCAATAAAGTATCAGTAGATAGTAGTGACGGCGGTAGAGAGCAAGTGGTGAAAAGGTGGTACTGCACCCTAAAATCCCCCCCAGAAAGGGGACGGCGCTCTTGAGCAAGTGGTGAAAGGTGTTACTGCACTTTGTTTTTCAAAGAGTTAGCTTCTGTTGGCCTGTGTGTGTGTGATAATGCTTTCACAGTTGTCTAAAGTGTTTTATGATCACGGTGTATTCTAAAACAAGCAGTTAGGTCAATAAACTAATTAATCTACAGGTCCTCCCTGTTAACGACACGTGTATGTGTGTGATAGTGATGAGCGGTAGGGAGGGCGTACTAACAACCAACCAGAATGCTCTGATGTATGTGATGTGTGAATGTGGGGAACCATGACTGAGCTCACCATGTCAATTGATGGGCTGCTAGGCTTTCAGTATACCATGTATGTAAAAGGAAAATTATTTAAAGAGCAGCTTCACAAGAGCTCACAATATACAAGGCTTGAGGAGAGCAATGAAACTCTCTCCTGTGCCTACTTTGACTTAACTGTCACAGCTTTTAAGTAATAAGAGTCACGGAGATGGGCGCAGGGTTCCAACTGGTACAACAGTATAAATGACCCGTGTGAAACTCACCTGATGACAAAGGTTCCGTGGAGCAAAAACACATATATTTTTTTTGTGTGTGTTTATCAATCGTAATTAATGCGTTATACTCCTAACCCTAATCATAAGGTATTAGTCTCTATAGCAATTTAATTATCCAATACAATAAAAATAAGAACCCTATATACCTATATGTACACAGTTTGAAACAGAGTAGGTAGATGTGAAACTAGGGTCCTAGGTACATGTTTTCTTTTTACTGGAGATCAAATGATTTAAAGGCGTACATCTCTCAGATATACAATTGTTACCATAAATAGTCATCTTAAAGACTGATTAAACAACCATATTACATACCTTAAACATTATGTACAACATTTTACCAAAGCACAAGCCAGTAATTAAACATTATGTACAACATTTTACCTAAACACAAACCAGTAATTAAACATTATGTGCAACATTTTACCAAAACACAAACCATTAATTAAAATCCAGATTTTCGTATGTAACACTCTCATATTTATTGAGTATAGTAGTTTTGTTGTTTCTTAAAAACCATGATTTTTATTTTGACTCTTTAATGTCTTTGTTAAGTTGATTCCTTCCAGAGACCATTCTTCCCACGAATGTAGTTCTGAATCTAGTTTTTATTAAAGATATCAGTTACAGATTGTATCGACTTTGTCTTTTTTTCCAAAGTTCTCGTAGATGTTTTGCAATTTACCTTATACAATGTATGATAAATAGTATAATCCACTATAACATATAATTTTAACACCAAGCACTCAAAAACAGGATTTGATGAATCTCGATATATTTTCCTTCTGGTCTTTTTTTAACTATAGGCTGTGTTAAACGTTGTCTCCAAATGTTGACAACATAGGTGAGGTCGGTATAATCATTCTAGTATCTAAGGTCAGTAATGCTGAGTGGTTTGGAAAGTGTAAAACACCAAGTGATTTGGCTAATTTTCCTTATGTACAGTGTCTGTGAGATTTACAACTCAGATCCTCAACGATGATGACACCCAAAAATGTTGTTTCTTTTACCCTTTTGAATTTCCCCCGTCTAGTCTTATCGACACACTATTTAAGATGTTTTTTCTTTATAGCATTGAATAGTATGTATTCGTTTTTCTTTGTTTAGAGCAAAGTCATTTGAACCAACCAGATTTTTATTATGACAAGTTCTTTGTTTATTACTTTTTGATAACTCTCCAACATTTTTCCACAACAAAATAATGCTGTGGCACCAGCAAATAAGATTATTTGTAATATAGGTGTCATGTTTACAAGTTTAAAGACATAATTCAATCATTTATACGTTTAAAAATGCAACACGTTCTTAAATGTTATGTAATAAGTTACATTAAAAACAAAGAAATGAAGACAGGGTGAAATCCGCCGCACTCTGATAAAAGTCCTTTAACAGAGAAGGGACCAACGTGCCACTCAAGGACATTCACAGAGTTGTCCTGAACCACTTCTTTGTTATCTTGGCTGTGTGCTTAGGGGCCCAGTGTGATAATAAGCTATAGTTGTTTGTTGTGCTAAAAATATAAGGGGAAACAAAGTAAGACATCAGTTTCCTGGTCGAACAGAGTAAGCGCTCATTTTTGGTTTGTTTTTGTAAAAATCGTTGTTTCATGTGTAGAGCCTTAGCAAACGTTCGTCTTTGTAAGTATTATTTAATCTCATAACCATATTGTTAGGACCCCAAAAGTGTTTTATTCTAATGCAAAGTGTTAAGTTGGCCCTATATCTGAGTAGCTAGTGCAGTAAGCAATTCCGTGTGTATAGCCGTCGATAGTTTTTTCAGTTGTTGCAGTTACGGTGATTTTGGTATTTTGTATTTAAGGATGCAATGAACCATACGCGAGAGATTCTCTATGAAACAAGAAAAGTAAGTTTCCCGTTCGCTCTAGCTTCAAATGGTCACGTATCCTGAGGACACCACAATAGTTGATACATTTGGAAAGTCACTCATACAAACAATATTGGTATTGAGTAATTTATTATTTTTTACAATTTATCTGCACAAACTGTTTAAGATTTTCTAGATAACTAGAGAGCCATGTATGAGCAAAGCCTATGATTCCATTTTCAGGAGTGGTTAATGACATCAAAAGCCTTTTGCAGGTTTAGTAAGATACTTACAACATATTTATCTGCATATTTTCTCTGTCAGTTCCATTATTGCCACAGCAGTTGAGTGTTTTTTCCTAAAACCATACCCATTTTGAATTAGTATATTTACTTTTGTAAAAAGCTATCCACTCACATGCAAATACTTTTTCAAGATTTTAGAAAACTGAGGCAGCAAGGACACGGGTCTAGAATTTGAGAAGTTGTGTTTGTTTCTGTAAAGAGGTATAATTTTAGTTGTTTTCATTTTCAGGAAAAGGTTCCTGTTTTAGTGACAAGTTACAAAGGTATGTAAAAAGGTTCAATTACAGATGCATCATGTCTGAGCCAGAGTCGGTTGTTTACAAATGTATTCACAATTTTTCATACTTTGTCTTTTTTACATATTGGAAAGAAAAATACTGTTCACAGGATCTACCTTTGTATTTCACTGCTAGATGCTGGCTTTGGAAATTTTCTTTTTTCTTTCGAGTCTCCTACACGAGTAAAGTATCTACAAAATTCATTTTGATATATTTATTTTATTGGATATTTCTGCCTTTGACAAAATAATTTGTGTACTCATGTTTGAGTTTGTTGTTCCTCATGACATTATTTAAAATTCTCCAAGTAGCTCGTTCTCATTTAGTGTATCACTAATGAAAATAGAAGACAAAAGGTACAACAAGCACCCGCATACGAAAAATATATAAAAATAACTGATACAATAAAATAAGACCTCCACAGATATGAAGTGACACTTTCCCACAGTGCCACAGATATGAACACTATATTGAATAACATATCATGGAGATATAGGATCACAGTCATTTATAACTAGTCCTCAGCATCATTTGTTACATTTAGATTTTCTACAATGTATTTGTATGATCCCACATTTGTTTCAAATATAGCTAACTTTCCTTTTCTAAAACATGTAACTCTTTCAAGGGGAAATAGCATTTTTATTTTACCCAAAGCATCAGCTTGAACTTTTTTTTTTTCCACTAAATTGCAATTGTTCTCGTTGCTTGTAAAAGACACATAGCTATCAGTACTTTTTTTCATTCTTTGTAAACGCATGTTTCCTAAATAAAAAAGTGTATATCCTTAGATATAGTGGTCTCTACTACTCCTTTAACCTCAGGACACCCCACACACAGTGGAGCAATGACCCTTCAACACCTAGTACATACATCAGTACATTTACTCTTTTAACACCTAGTACATACATCAGGTACATTTACCACATAGTACATACATCAGTACATTTA